TGTGGTGGTATCTATTAATATTCCAATAATTAACTCTTTAACGCCAATTATTCTGACATAGGGTACAATATTCAAATGACGTAACACGGCCCAACATGCTAAAATTCACCTAAGTTGAATGGAAAATAAGAAATGAGGGGATTGTTTCACATTTGTAAAAAAAATGAACATCTTACCACATGTCGAGAATTTTATTAACTGAATTTCGTTTTTTTCACTTCTAAGATAGGAAACGACATGTTGATACAGCTATTTTCTGTGATTGTGGGGTTTTACTGTTATAGGATAAAAACTGTCAATAACACAGAGAGAATGAGTCTGTGACCAACAAGTGGAAGTTTGGTTATTTACGACAATAAAAATGAACTGTTCACAACATAACAGATAAAACGAAAACATCAAGTTTGATAATTTTGTCAAACACCACCTTTAAATCCGGTTTTGCACGAAAATACATACTTTGCACAGGGGGCCACACATAAAGTTGACTAATGGTAAATGTCTCGGTGACATTCCTTGAATTAGAGCTTATCTCAAGCCATTAATCTCGGGTTACCCATTATCATACGAGTATTGTCTCTTGAATTAAATCATAATCACCTTAAATGTTTTAAAATTACGGTTATACATGACGGTTACATTATGAATAGACCCATCCTCAAATGGAAAAAAAATGTGAGGTGTTATTGCTCAATTTGTGCACTTTCTCGATTCGAAGAACATTGTGAGGCGTTATTGCTCTATTCATATTCGTTAATATTCGTTGTGACTTTATCTGCATGTCAAGTGCATTTCACACACACACACACATGACTGGGATAGTATATGTAATGTATACGCAAATGGCAGTAATAATGTCGATTCCTTACAAATCAAAACCATGACTGTCTAAATTTCAGTTCAACATAATTTACTCCCGATCTGATATTGTTCAACCGAATACTTAGTACAACTTCAGTATATACATATATTGAAGCAAAAAATAGTCAATTTTTTCGTTTGAAGTTTTTGAATCGAGAACATTATGTTAAATTATATATTATCTGTGTATCAAGTTTTTGATGATCACCAGTTTTTGATAAAAATCGTCTGAACTATCTCAACTTTAACCTGTAGTTTATGACTCTACTGATAAGATGTACAACGACTTGATATTATTCAAATCAATATTAAAAGGTCACCGATGTGCAGCTATTGAATATATTACATGCGTGACCTACATTATATTTATAACATGATGTAGTCTACCGATATGAAGCCAATAATTCAGTATTTGATATGTATAGAATAAATTAAGCGTTTAACCTGGAATAACTTTGAAATTAGTTTAATTGATTAAAATAGATACAAATTGAATTCATTACAGAATTGCGAGACATATTGAATTTACAAAGCTGCAATGTGAATTGTTATCAACTAATCATTTATTGAATTGGCTTACATAGGACAACAGTGCTTTCATACTTTGTATATTATTAGCTTAAATATTCAAAAATGTCCAAATCAGCATATAAACTGCTCTTCATATAGAATGATACAGAGAAAACCAGAGTAATTCCTTTTCCAACACTGTCATACTGCTTGTTCGATCCCTTTAATGTGCCAGGAGAGAAGTTACACGTGCATCATGAACATAGCAGAACAAAATACAGAGTTCAAAGAAAATCCTTTTCTTACACTGTCCTGTTTCTCGTTTGAGACCTTAAATTACACGTTCATCTTGAATATAGCAGAACAGAATACAGGGTTATATAATGCAATGAATATCTATCATTGACAGATTGAGGTAATAGATGCTGAAGTAGATAATGGTAAATGAGTTGATTAGTGTTAGAAGTATTTACATAACAAATCCAAACATACACTCTCTATAACCAACGCCAGAAATCTGATCCCCTTTTCTGAAACCTTCAAGACAAATGTGTTTCAGTTTTTTATAACGCTGTAACAGTATGAATTTTTGTCGAAAAAGAAATGTGGAAACCTTAACCTTTGTAATATTTTTACAAGATGCAAGAAAAAATACCAGTGGAAGCCGATAAAATTAAAATATCTTTTAAATGCATTTGTCCTCCGCGACTTTTACCGATGTATACGACCAAAAAATTACATCATTATACGTGTTATTCAGCAATGATGAACACAGCGATCTGATTAATTTCAACTTAGGTTAATATTTTTTCTTCTCTTTAAGCCGAGTAAATTACAAGTTAAAAATGTCTTGTGTGAAAGTAAAATATGTAACAGGCAACTGTGATGATAGACTTTCAACTAGCTCACATTAGATAAAATGTGGATTTCAAACGAGAATATGACAAGTGTTATGTAAAAAAAAAGTGAAAAGAATGAAACAATGATTGTGTTTAGTTGTTTTTTCGATTAGTTATTTCCTTCGTCAACTTTTGCTCAAAGCGTGACTTCTGTTTAACAAAAAGGTGTAAAACAACGAATGTCACGCTCCTCAAGACAATGCCGGTTGAATATCACAGATCAGATAAATACGAAATGCCCTGTATGTCAGCAGAATTGCGTCAAAGTCGCTTCCAGTTCGTAGCTTGACACGTTTAACTTGTCATCGTTTTGACAGAGTTTGAGCTAGGCAACTACTGGTGATCAGACCCGTGGCACAACTTGTTTATTCGTTTACTTGTAGATTTCTCTCACCTACATTGAAATGCATCAGTTTAACCAAGTCTAACATGACCAAGAAAATTTTGTTGGTTGAAGATTAACCTCGATAAGTTTTGTTGGTTAGGCTAGATAGAAAATCCCGTGAAATGCGTTTGGGGAGTTTAAAAAGGTCTTAAAATATGGTCTCTTCCAGACGACAAAATTGACAGACTAAATTTCAATTTCAATATAACACCTTCAGACGAATTTTGTTTACCATAGAATTTCGCACAAACACCAGATAAAAATTTCACCACGAATATTGTATTTAAAAATCAAATAAAGAGTTGAACTTGTGATCGTCGCATTCAAAGTTGGTAATAAAATGATAAAAAGAAGGCTATTGAATAGGGAGACATGTAAAATAAATGTATAAATCTATACACATGCCTTCAATGTCTACACTGACTCTATGGTACCTGGTATAACAAATAATGCATATCATAAAGGCTTGTAATATAATATAAAACACTATCCTATTCTTTAGGAAAATACTAAATAGAAAATTGAAATTTGAAGATCGTAACATTATTTGCCATGTATATAAAGATAATCTTGATTTAAGTGGTGGAATTCTCTACTGCATAACATTATCCTAGATTTAGAGTAAAAGAAAATGTTATTTTTATCGAAAAGTAATTGGTATTAGTAATATTTTCTATTTCCACTGTCTAGACTCCAGATCATCATATTATTCTCAAATATAGATTTTTCTTCAACAATAATAAATGATATCTTATATTGTCTTATCTTCTATAACAAGAAGAAAACCAAGACTCGAGACAAAATCGGTAAATCGACGGTCCTTATTTTTTTACCACTAATAATAAAAATAAACTGAATTTCAATATCAAAATACGGACCCTTCAGACGTGAAGTATTCGAAATGATTTTTCAAGTTTGTAATGGTTTTAATTCCTTCTTCAAACTGAATTTAGGTTTATTATTTTCAGAAGGTTGCATTTTACTCTGTATATAAATTTATCAATCATCACAAAATTACAATTGAAGGCTTATTTGCTATAATGACAAATTCAACAACCGACTGTTTGCTATAATACAAGCATGAAATGAGAATGTAAGGAGTTTTATGGTTTTGCCTCTTGTAGAAAGATGTGATCGATAATACTGTAATTGGTGTTTAGACTAATCGTGTTTTAACACCAACTCTATTCAACAGAAGTGTTTAATCAAACGTCTGCAGCTAACTCTTGTTTCATGTTCCACTCAAGCATTAGAAACCAATAGCATAACATATAATCAGGGAAACTTGTAATCAGCTCAACATGGTAGTCATTAGTTTAAATGCACATGAATTGAACAGTCAAAGCATTAACATAGATTTAAACATCGCCAGCAGTCCATTTCAAAGATCTCAACCGTCTAATTGCACAGTACCAGAGTTACACAAATAATTCAAACTTAGTTGCTTTATGATTAAAACACGATTTTTCTTGCAAATGAGTGATCATACGAAACTAATTTATTCATTCTGAATTATTAAAAATAGAATAAAAACTGAATAAAATTGAACAAAATAATAATAAATCATACATTTATGAAATGAAATTACCGTATGCCACAACTGCATCATATTTTATTCAATAAATTGAATCATAATCTTTATATACTAAATATTCATTTATTGATCTATTTAGATTCAAGCGTTTGCATTACATTCTACGATTTATAGTAAAAAATAGTACAGGTGTTTCCAAAATGTTAAACAGGTATGTTTCTTAAATGTCCAAAACAATTATTACAATACAGATTCACCAAAAAAATTTTTTAAGTTATAAATATTCCAGAAAGGCTTGCTATTTAGCATTATCAACTGTAAAGCTTACTACATTTTTTGAAAATTACGGAAACAACTTGGAAATTATACGAGAAGGCAACGAATACTAAGGTTATTTTGAGATTTGGCGACAGTCTTGCAGTTAAGTTACATAAATAATTGACAGTAAAAATCAAAGGTCATACCTACTATTGTTTGTTGTGTGACCTTTTTAGTTTACAGGTTGTAATTAGCCCGACACACGTGGCTATGACTAAACAAACAGTTCTACGTTTCTGAATTTTGTCAGTTCTTCAAGAGCGATAATTTAAAATATTTGAATCAATCGATTGGTTATTTATTGTGAAGAGTTGGGACATCTAGAAGATAGTAACTATTTTTACGAATTAGAGATTTGTCATTAACATAACTAATTATACTTTATAATGATAAAGAACAATAATTTATTTAAGGGAGCTCTGAGTTATTGATAAAGAATCAGTATATTATAATTTATCAATTATTTTGAAACATAATTAAAATTATAACATACCTGAACTAAATAGTGCGATGGCCTTTAAACAACTGTATTCAGCTGTGTCGATATGAAGGTTTTTCAATTTCTCCACATGGTCTTGAAAGGTTCGGATATTCTCCATGAAGGCTACTACATGATCTGCAGGCATTGGTGAAGCATGGAGTCCAGCCGCGGCTAAAAGTGGTGACAGATGACAAGGCATTGAACTCTGGGCAGCATTTAAAACAAAAAGTTCGCTCCAACTGATTCGGAGTAATTCAACTTGATCGTTTACGTGTAATTCCGGAAAGAAGTGAACATTTCTTGCCCATTCGACAGCGCTAAATAATAATCTGGCGGCCAATTCGCAGATACTGTCAATTCCGACGATATTATTCTGCATGCATTGTCCATATCTTGATGTAGGGTATGGTTCTGCCCTCAATAACATTGTAATAAAGCTGGAAAAATAACCGTGTCCGCCCAGAGGATCACCGTTAGGGAAGCCCATCTGTCCGGCAAATGGATGCTGGCTTGGTGGGATTCGACCTCTTTGAACAGCTGAAAGAGAAGAAAAATGCGTATCGTGAGGAAATCATTAAATTGTGACACTTCTATATGATTTATTGTCAGTATTGGAGATAGGATAATAAGATTACATGAAAATTTAACAAGAATTTATAGATCGTTCTGCTTCACTATTTCATTTCGATGTAAAAAAAATGCTCTATTTAATGATACAACAGTAGAATTCTATTATACGCATTCTTTAATAATTTCTATTGTTAGAATTATTTCTATCAGATTTCAATTTGTTACATTATCAATTCATATAAAATAGATATAAATAAACGCATAATTGCTCCAGTTGCTAAACAGATAATATTTATAGAGGTTCATCTGATATCTCAATATTACTCATAAGCACAAATTTTTTCAAATATAGTGTCTTAACTTGTGTGTCAAGGATTTATAATTAACAAAATCAATTTTTTAAGATCCTTTTTTTCATTATTGGCCATCTTAAACATGTTGCAACACTAGCTAGGACATTGCGGACTACGAGTCAATGAGTTATCATTATTAATACTGAAACAGTTGTTTTAATTAAATTTCATACTGAATATGAACGGCACATATGATACGTATATATATGTCAATATTATTGAATTTTGTGATCTACTATCAAATGATTTAGAAAAAGCTGTTACTTGAATTGGCTGATAACCATGTATGAATTACATGAATAAAATTTCTTGTCTGGGTTCATCAATCGTTCAGGTTAAGCGATATGTTTTTTTCTAAACCCTCTGTGATGTAGTGTCGTATCGTAAAACTCAACTTATATCAAATATATATTCTTGGTAACAGCAATTTGTTTAAAATTCTCAAAATTCATTTGAACAAAAAGGGCCTTGCAAGGAAAGTTTTGGATGAGTGGTTAGTGACAGAACACGATTTAGGCTTTAATACACTACGAAAACGAAAATTGGGTTTAAATTATCAAAATTAATTTCTTTTTAAATTATCAAGACTTAGATTTCAGAAAGAACCTTAACTGATTTTTAAAAGTATAAATTGATGTCGCAGAGAGGCTGCTGATAAAAAAAAAGCGTCCTCAATTCATAACATAATGTTAAAAAATATTTCAGCGGATACACCATCCTAGAGAGCCAATGCCTTAAGAACCAAAATAAATTTCGCCGAAAATCATAAATCATAGAAAAGAAAAATCACAATTTCTTCAATTTGTGTTAATGCGAAGGAGTAAAATGATAAATGTTCTCTACACCTTCTAATTATTCCCATTAACATTTCTAACACATAATAAGACCTTCTCCAAGATTTACCAGACAAAAATTTTTCTTTAAAAACGGTAATTTACGAAATGTATATCATATGACAAGAGGACTGGGCTAGACATTTTAAAATATGCGCTATTTTTGAGCGTTTTCAAAAAATAGTCTGTCTGCTTCAATCAAAATGTATAGACGTAAAATGTGCAAATTCATACGTATAAAAATTAATTTTTTCTTAAATTTTTTGTAAAAGAAATTATTGGCGAGACATTAATAACAAATATTAAACTGCACTTCTATTTTTTTTTCTACAGCAGAATCAAGATTGTAACATCAATCATTAACATTATTTTTGTCGGGTGAGGGTAGAGAATGGGCCCTATCACCCACCTTCCACTGACCTGTGTCCCACCTACCTTCCCGTCTCATCCCTGCCTTCAAACATTTTCTCAGACGACAATACTGGCACTGATTTCTGTGATGTTGATCTATGGGACAGTTCTTGTTTCCACGACATGTGTAATTCAAATTCCTTCGCACAGATCTTTTAAAGAAACTTTTACACCCTTCACACGTATATTGTCCGTAATGTTTTCCAGAACTTTTATCACCACATACGACACATTCTATATGTTGTTTGTTATTGTTATTTGTTTCCGAGTTGGGTGAACCACCATTCTGCTGTGGGGTCGGTGTGGTAGCTGTTGGAATCTGTGTCTGTGTTGGTGTGACAGTGGGATTGGGTGGGGGTAACGGTGGAGGAACCACTGTTGGTGTCGTACCCACTAAATCGTCAGTATGATCTCTCCAAGACGTAACGGTGGGCTGTGTAGGAGTCATAGCCATAGCTGTGTGAATACACTACAAGGCAAGGTGAACACTGATAGTAACAGTTTCTTCAACTCACACGAAAGTCATTTGGCCCGTTAAGAAAGTTCAAATTATGAAGTAACACTTTGTCCTAAGCTTATCATCCGGTCTTCTATAATCCCTGTGACTGATCTTCGACTGTCATTCACCCTGTGTCCTTAATGTCGTACTTTTCACACTGTATCTCAACCGTACCAAACGGTGTTGTTCGCGTAGGAATCGGCACAAACTGTTTTGGAGCGTGTTTTACCGTCTGACAGTACTAAAGGCTCACTGAACTCTGACTTCTCCCTTCAAACTGCTAAGTTTCTATGGTTACACCTCCTTATATGGCGCTGGGAGTCACTAAGGTTGAAGAAGTGTAGCGGTGAGTGACAACTGCTGTCGTCTGGTCAAAGCCCCTCGCCACGCGGGGCATAACCGCTAACAGTTACGACTGTTCTGATTGGCCCTCCACGTCATTCATTACAACCGACATGACTGTCAGGCGAAAAGCTCATATCACTCCGCTCTTGTTGTATCGTCTGCTCTTGTAGGTCGCGCGCGTCAGTGAACCAATCGCCTTGCTTGGCTTGCAATAGAGGAAGGGCAAACGTGAATATTTTTACGAAGTAAGAAGTGGGAGGTGAAATGTGTATGCTCATCAAAATAATTACAGATTCATACGATTTGGCGCGATATGCTCTTAGACCCGAAAGTTCGTCTGCTACAGAGTGAGCTTTATGAAGCATAACGTTAATGCTCTGGGGTTAAATACTCAAGATCGCAAAAGTCGAGTATTCAGTCAAGTAAGATCTTCAAATGTTGCAATATTTACGCTAGTATAGAGTGACAGATCTCACATAATAATTTACGGTTTTCGGTATCGAAATCCTCGAAGAAGACACAAATGTTCACTTATATTAGCTATTATGATAAACTTTACTATTATATTGAATTATACAATTAATTACAAATGACATAGATTCGTAGCCACACAGAACAAATTACTGTTTTCGGTGACCTGACTTAAAGGTCATATTTTAAAGCAAAGATATGTAACGAAATGAACTGTAATCTTATGTAATCTGTAGATGGTATAGAAGTTGACCTTTTACATTCACTAGATGTGCCGGGTTACGAATCTCGTTGCGCAAGTGGTACAGCAGGTTATGTGTTAGGGGTGATCATATAACACAGCTAATAATCTCAAGTCTCTTATGTATATCTCGTATCTAGTTAAATGAGGACACAACTTTCTTCCCGCCATAGATTATGTCATAAACAATTAAATAACGGTTAATATAAATGTCGCCCGCCTAGTCGAGTAAATACAAGCATGTCTACTTTTTCTTGCCCAGTATTCTTCAGACAGCTCTATAAAAGACTTTTCAAGTTTTGTGACCTTTTCTTTGTAGAAAAGGTCATTGATAAGTTTTTTGTTAGTCAAGTTTTTGACCCAGATAGTGCTCTTTAAGACCATCTGTTTGTGAATGTCGCGCCCTTTATAACGCATAGGTTAGCATATATAATAGACTCAGTGTATATATTGTATAAGATATGCAGTATATCTATATCTACATTCATAGTCTATTCATAATCAAATATAATGAACATTTATTCAAAACTAGACACTGCTCAAAGCTGTGTTCTTTACTAAGATGGAGTTGCATCGGTGCAATGACAAACATTATGATGTATGGAAAAGTGAGTATGAATTGAAGCGACTGTTCTGTTGCCCTATATCTCGGTAAAAACAGGTAGTTAGTTCTAAGAAACCTGATAACTGTTTGTAGCTCTAGTGTAGCCGACTGCAATTTCTTCATGTGACCCCCTCTCCTTTTTAAAACCTATTTAACATTCTGCATACTTCACGATATATAAACCCTAAACTCAAATGTTTACATATCCTTATCTATTCATTTTGCAATAATATACAAATAAAAATGTCAGAGAGCTTTAGACTTTTTGCTTGAGATAACTATCAAGATTACATTGAAAGGCTGCCTTTCTGTGCGTTTTGGTCACAGACAATATTGTTTTCAAGCAGCTAATATTCGCAATATAAAGCAGGTTTTTATCATAGAATCTAACCTATATCAACTATGGCGTAACATAAATATTAACACTAGGGCCTCAGTATGTTTTATCAATGCCATCGACGCAACACTTTTCTTTTGGATATTTCATACATTAGTTAACTCATGCCTTTTATTCTGTATTCAATTACAATGCTGATGGCTTCAGATCTAAGACTGGGGTAGAAATTCTCCTACAATGCTTCTATTCCAAATCATTAATTATTCTCACTGCCGTTTATTAAGCCTAGCATTAAGTGGGCTGGCAGTGGAAATAAGACAACATGTGGTCAATGTAAAAAGTGTCGATATAAAAATTAAAAAACTAGGATCATATGGCCACAGGACATCACGAAGTGTTTATTTGATATGCTTAGAAGGGTAATTCTGATTAACCTATATCCCTTTAAACTAATAGATTCTAGTCTGCATTGATCTCTCAGCTTACAATTTACACAAAGACCCAACGTTAAAAAATGACTAAAATCTTAGCATGTTGGTCAGGTTCACGAACTGGACAACTTTGGCCACTCTGGAGGGAATAATAATATAATTAGTAAAAAGAGTATTAAACATAATACATTCGCCTGCGTCGTGTTTCCCACCTTGCTTCAAGAACTCGTCAGAATAGATTCCTTCTCAGCCATCTGTGTTAACACCAATGGTGTTAAACTACACGCAATTTTCATCAACTTAGCTTTTTGTAGACGCGAAATTTGTGCAAGAATCTGTAATTTGACGATGGGAACTGTGGAAAGTGATTGTAATGGCGTGAGATTTGCATGGACTTGTTTTCTCACGTTGCTTAAAATTTTTGAAATGATTATTAACATTGAAAGGTGAAATTTACATATCGAAATCATGTTTATAGTAGTGCTGTCTGAAAGGTGATTTTAACCCTTATGACCATCTCATTTGGCCTACCTTACATTGAAAGATCAGAAGTTTAATATGTGCCAGAAAGTTGGGAACCTAGACATAGAAATTTACCGTTAGATGACAATTTAATTCCTAATTAACACTGATCATCAAAGTCCAAGTATAATTGACTCAAACGATGGAAAATAAATTATGTAGTTCATTAAACAGGAAATTTAAAACTACAAGTATATTAAAGACATCAAACGGCGGGTTAAGCTGACAAAATCAGCTTACTACTCGATACAAGTCCCTTAAATACGAAATCTGAAACTGACCAAAGCGACGGGAGTAAAGAACAACACGCCCTGCAGGTTTAACAGTTTCTTGACGAAATCCGCAAATCCTCGAGTGGCTTTTTCTTGACCCCAGGTCATCGTAAACAGATTTCTCAATTTTCAAAGGTTCTACAATAGGTAAAAGAAATCGGTATGTACACATGAATCAATCAAGTGGTGCCGCAAGATTCGCCTTTTAAACAACGTAAAGCACCATTCAAAGCGCTTAACTAGACTTAGAGAGTTCAAAGTAATTGAAGGAATTTCAAAGACATAAATCTTGAGATCTAGTTGTATATTTTAACACTTTAGCAACCACTACATATTGAGTTTACATGGCGCTTAAACCATTACCAACCTAGGCTATTTACAAACAGAACACCAACATAAAAAAAATCAGCACAGAGAATGAGTTTTAGACGCTCTTGCCAATGTAGAACAAAGCAAACAATATTTTAATAAGTTTAATTTCTTTTCAGAATTTCAAAACAAAATAAATTGTTAGTAAAAGTGGTCATTAATAAAATAACTGCAAGCAAACCTATTCTTAACCAATATATGAATCATTTATTAATTCATTATTTGGTACAAGTTATTGACATCAAAGTGTAGTTGTCTATTTATTAAAGTCACTGTCACAAAATGAAAGAATGAGTTAGGTGAGACAACGAACCCAAAACGTTAACAGCACATTTTAAATCGGTAGAGAAAATAATGATTCCAAGCGTTTATATAATCTGGTAAACCACAACAACGGATCTAAACAGCAAGACATTCGATAAATACCGGATGTTTGGAAAGTATCTAACTCAGGAAAACACCGGAAGTGGGGAATAATCATCGTAATCATCATCTTATATGCTGTCATGTTCGTTTAAATCTTTGGCACAAGACTGAATATAACTTTACTTCTGTATTTTTGATTTCAAAACAATGTTCCAGAGAAATTAATTGTCAATACAGATCGGATAATATAGCACAGGAAGCGTGATATTGGGTGTATAATGACGTAATAATTATGAAATATTCCACAAATTGATATTGAAAATCATAATTATAATTAATATTCATTGCGAACTATCGACTCAGCTACACAAATATATGAATATCATGTTGGTATACACAATTTGAATATTACTGCAGCACATGGTTCAGAAAAGTAGGACGTAAAACTCCATTCATTTAAATTGAAATCTCCGAACGATATACTATGACACTACAGCTAAAAAATGAGTGTATATATATCACTAACATATAAAATGAATATTTACAAAACATTTAAGGCCTACAATATCAATATTTCTTTGGATTCAAACAGAAAACTGGCATATAGACAATGTATCTCTTCTAATCAGGGGCACAGACAGCAAATAACCGCGACAGGTCACCAGGAATGCGAAGGGAATAATCATTTAATGTAGTTTGTCGTTTTAATATCAACTGATGTTTGTAACAGGTGAAGTATACTCACTAACTTAAATATATGGTTCTGAGATTTTTCTACTATATACCTTAAGAAGTGCAGTATTGTGAAGAATTGACTTGAGTCGTAATAAACTATTGAGGTTACAGAATTTCTCTGAAACGTTTTCAATGGATTTTTCCATACATATTTAAGTTGAAAATTAAGTAAATTACATTAGATCATCTCAAGAGATATTTGAAATTAGATGTAAGGCTGCAGTTTGAAATAAACTAATGATTGGGACGTGATTAT